TATCTAACCATCTCATCCTCTGCCATCCTCTTCTCCTTTTGCCTTCAATCTTTCCCAGCAAGGTGGGATATACATCTAATATTTAAATTGGGCTCATCTACTCCACCTTAATGTTTAAAAAACGACAAACATATTGGGTATCTTTTCTGATATATATTAGAGTCTTGCTTTCCCCCCCTCAGTTTCAGCATTAAAAAGTTTACTCTTTTTATACATTTTATCTGTAAACCATCCAGAAAATCTTTTCTTAAAAATTGGCAGTATATATGTAATCAGCTTGATTTACTTGCCACTTTTCAACCTGAGCAAGTAAGTTTAACATTCTACAAGGCTGTGTTTTTTCCTCTTTAAACTTTGCTACCTTTCCTACCAGAGAACTATATGATTCTCTTAATATTCAACTCAAAGAAAAAATGGGCTGATATGCAAACATTGCTATTCTTCTGTAGGAGCCCTAAGTTTCAAATGATATACTTTGCCTGGACAAAGCCCTCCAGATTTGCCAGTTTTCCTTTTTGTAGAATAAGCTGGCAATTTTATATGGGATCCATTAGATTCTCTGTCAGTGATCAGTTGAGTGGGACATAAGGAACTTCCATTTTACCAAAAAAGAAAAAAGCAGGACAGTTTTTCTCTACCAGAAGTATGGTCCACTAGATATATATTGAATAAAAGCTAGATAAGAAGTGAGTTCCTATACTTTCCAATTTCTTCACAGCTTTCACATTCTTATGAAGAAGAGCAGGGATGGTCTACTTGACTCGCTGGCTATGACCTGATTGTCCCTTAAAGCCCTACTTGGTTTCAGAACATAAGGCTAGCATGGTATATAGATGTTGGCTTTGGTTTTTGGTGCCTCTCCATTATTTCAGCACAATACATGTGCCAGAAAGGTTTTTGACTGAAAAGGATTTCTTGTAGCTCTGACAGTCTCCTTGAGCCTGGCTCTTAATCCACTCTCCAGCTGAATCTTTTAGCTACAAGAGTCTGTCATTTCTACATTTAATCTAGTTGCAGTGTATTTTCTGAGCATTAAGCAGCTTTTACCCATACTGAGTGCCAAGTGAGATTAGTAAACAGCATTGGGAGGAGCAGAGGGGCGGAGAAGCAGATTTTCTAACCTACAAATCGCTGAAAGATTTACTTCTCAGCTACCAGCCACAAATGTGTGCAGGCACAGAAGCATGCCT